ATACAAGTGGTTGGCTGGTCTGTTTCTTGTGTTAGTGGACCGGAGTCTACCGTTTTATGTAAATAGTTTCAACAAGTAACTCGGCATATGACTGCTGGCATCAATTTTATCTTTCATTCATGACAGTAATTATTTCGCCACGCGAATTTTATTAATTGCTGGCGGAGACGTGATCAAAACTAGGTTGTCCTACCACACCACTACTGTTGGCAGAGCCGCCTATCGACTAAAACCTTTTATTATTACAATCTCACCCAGCAAAGGGCCATGAAAAACGCCAGACCAAGACAAAGTATCTTCAGATTGTGAAAATGACTGCAATTTGAAGTTTTGAGTAATTCGACACAAGATGAATGTGCGTGGTTTCCTCCCAGGTCAAAAGAATTCGTATGTTACGTCTGAAAAACTCTTGACACTGCTAGTTATTTTGCCTGCACAATGACACAGATATCCGATTGTTCAAAGCTCTGAAACAATATTGTAGAAACTGAGAAAAGAGCAAAATTTCAAACATAAAACCCATTCCCTTTCGTACAGAGCATACAGTGTCGATTCGTGTAAGATGATAATGTCGGATAAATAACTAAGACGCTCTTATGGAATGTCGAAGACGAGTCATGCTATGACGTAAGATATCACTGAGTTAAAGCACCGGTGTTATCAGTGTGAGATATGATAAAATTCAACAGGCATCAACTACTTGACAAAGACTGAAGGTCATATACGGAGCACGTATTGACACTGATACGCACAGGCCCGCAGACTGCGTAACACAACTGCGACGGATATGCAATCCAGAACACGATGTAGAAAGTCCGAATTATTCGGTCTATTTCGTGGCTTTTCTCCTCCGCCCGTCGGGGTTAATATCGGAATAATCGTCAGCCATTACCTGCAAGGGGTGACTAATTTGAGATCGGTTTATGACAGGCAATGACGCGCAATGTACCATACTGGGGCCGTATGTTCATCGTTTCCAAGAATAATTCTGTTTACCAGTGCTGCAACGAGTTAAGGGAAACGTGTTTAAAGGGGCAATGCACATATTATTAACCTTTACAGACGTTAAACATCCCAAAGGAAAAAGCGTTTTTGCTTCGTGCGATGAGAAGTGGCGACGTAGCGTAAAATCGTACGACGCAACTTTGAACGCTGTTGGGGAAGGCAACAGGCGAAACATTAAAAGCTGCGACAAACACGGACATTCGCCCGTAAGTGAACAAAAAATGCTAGGATGAAGTGCATGCCGCATAGCGAAACGGAAGACGGGGCGAAAGATTTGTGCTACAGACCGACTAAATTACTTTGGGCGAAACAGATCTGCAGCGAAAGCAGGAAACAGCTGAAGAAACCCCTCGACTCCCCATCTCCTACTCTTCCATCAACACTGCTGCTACGTAGTCACTCTCTTCTCCGTCTGTATAACATTACAGTCAAAATTCCTAGAAAATCTTTCTGCCTCTTTCAAGCGGGCGAGGCAGTGACGCTGTTGGATTGAACTCGGTCAGAATGCGCCATTGCCAACTTCAGACGAGCTCTGGAGGAAGTTCGGTTGCGTACATTTCGCGTTTCAATGTTTCCAGTACGGGGACAGTGGCACCTGTGAATACTGTTTTGTTATTTTGTATGTCTACTATGTATTAACATAATCTTCAGCATTCGTGCATTAATATTCTTCTAGTTATGTAGGATTTGATGTTTTCACGGCGGTGTCTGAAGACGGCTGTCCTCTGGGTCTACCAGACTATACACGGCGCAACAACCCAGAAGACAGCCATCTTCATTTTCCAGCTGCTTGTAATCACGACCTAACATTCATGCTCTTCAGTATACCATAAGCAAGACAAAATTGGATTATTTTTCACATTATTTGTAGATATTTACTTCATTAAGCTGTCAAAATGAGCAATGTAGCAACAAAGTTCAATTTTCCTCGCAGAAATGTTGGGATCGCGTGCAAAATGTGTTGAAGGTGCCGCTTCCGATCACTGACAGAAATAAAAAATATTCTTTTTATGACAAACTCAAAAGTTCAATGCAGGGAATCCCATTTTTCCTCAGACCGGCCGGCTAGAAGACTGTTCGCCCGCGCATGCCCACTGTTGCCCGTCCAACAGTCCCTCGTCACTCGATGCTGCCTGTCATTTCTCGACAGCGCTGCGTGTTCAGCATCGTCGCTTTTATTTGAGACAAGTACAGCTCACAGCGTCGTGAAATAACTGGGGTAGGATATGATGTACAGTTCTGGCCATAAATTACTCATTGCAACACATTTGTACAGCGTTCTGCATGGAATAAATGCCGTACAAAGTATCCTGACAGTACAGTACCATGCAAAGCAGCGATTTCCAACATCGTAACAAAATTACGGTCTGCAGGATCGGTGCTGGACAAAAAGAAATCTCGAATTGGTTACGAAAACAGCCAAGATAGCAGACGCTGAAGCACCACAGAAGTTGGCGCGCGGAGGATACTTGGGCCCGTGTTATTTCACGGAACAATCGATTCCGAACATTAATGCGAGATTCGTTCACTGGCCGCTTTCTTCGATCGGCTGACCGCAGAGGAAAAACCGTACGGGCGTTTTCTGCAAGACAATGCAGCAGCACAGACTGCGAACAATTCTATGCTTGCATTTTACAACGAAGTCTCCGGAGAACGAGTCATAAAAGCCGAGGACTGTGGCCTTCGCGATCACCCGATTCAAATCCTTGTTACTCCTATTTGTAGTGCAGAGCTGAAAGAAAAAGTGTGTGAACAATTCGCACTCTTTGGAAGAACTAAGATAAACTACAGCGGAAACGCGGGCCGTAAATTAGCGGTTGCCGCGGAGCGTGCCGTGACAGTCGCCGGATCCAGTCCGACGATTAATGATGTACTACCTGTCTGGGCAAACGAAAAGGATCATTTGCTCCTATCAACAGCAGGCATCAGAACTGTTTGGCTGCGGTAGGTGGTGAAATTAGACTCTCCCCGCGGAAGCTGGTTTTCATGTCAGTAGCCACCGTAAAGCTCAAAATATTTTGGCTCATAAGTACACATTTTTTTTCCAGCAAGTTACGAAAACATCACCATTCTGAGGACCAAACACTTTCCTGGCGTGGTTATTTTTTTAAATGCTTGTAATTCATGTCATCCCGTCCCAGCAAGAAAAAAGTTTCACACCCCACAAATCAGCAATGCAACTATCGCGGTCCGCGTATAAAACCACGCAACCTGAGCACACCTTTGCTGCGTTGTGAACAGGTCGCCAGTTCAACCAAATCGCAACGTAACGTGACACGAGACCATCAGCCATTGCCTCGCGTTTTGCTGCTTCTCGCATTCGGGCATTTTATGGCTTTCTCCAAACTCGAGGGTCAAAACTACAGTTCTCTCTTCCGACCGGAAGGAGACTGTGACTTAGTTCTATTAACGCTCCGTGTGCTTATACTATTTAAGGGCAATTTTAATTACAAACCACGAAAGGTGGGTTTCTAAACACGGCACAGAAGGAGATATAACTACGCCATGTTAGCCGTAGGTGATTTAAGGCAAGCGCAACTCCACACAAAACACGTCGATCGCTGAAAACAGAGCACGTGCAATCGATACAACAGCGCCCCCGCGGGTGGTGGAAGGGACACCCCAACCCCCGCGCCATACAGACGCATAAAGTCTGCGTTCAGAGTAATTTAGCAGAAAGGATGTTTTCCTCGGCAACAGGAAAATGACATAATCGTGTTCCTGAAAGCCGCTACTACTCTCGCCAAAAACGTGCCCAACCCCACGTTCAGTTCGTCTGTGGACGCAACATCTGATGTGAGTGGAACGCAAGAAGTCTGAACAAATTTTTGCAGCTGTCTTAGGTCAGCGATTATCAAATCTGTTCTTCGTCTGTACACACCGGGACAAATTAGAGCATTCAGCGTGGCAGCGACGAATCGACATCAGGAGTTCGTCGTAATTCGAAATTCGCGTCTCACGTAACGCAAGCTGGAGCCAGTGTTAATGCGCGCACAACCGAAGCTCGGTTGGGACATTATACACCGCACAGCCTGAAGTTACAGTGAGAGAACTTTCCAAATATTGTTTTTCGTATTCTGAACTTTTACTAAGGGCAGACTCCAAAAATATGCTGGATTTAATTCAGATTTTGTGAAACTTACCACATAATTCGGGCATCCCAATGATTTAAAATCAATAATATCAGTTTTACAATGCAAACAGGTACTGGGAAGGGCAAGGAACATGTCCCCGACAAACGCCACATCAAATGTATGTTGAGAAGACACGGAGCAGAGCAGGTGGGGCACTGAATGGTCGAAAGAATGCAAACTTCTGAAAGGGCCACTTTCTGCTGTGAACCGAGTGTCCACACGTGACGGGACGAGTGCAGTTTCGCTACCCCAACCCAGAGGGGAGAGCGCTGAATCAGGAGGGTCAATACCAGCCCAGACGGTGAGTCACCAGCATGTACCACGACGCCAGGCCAGCCCCAGTCCCGAGAATCGAAAATCAACGCACCAGGCGTTATCCTCTGGTTCGGCAGTTGGCTTCGTTAATCACAAGTGCAAAATTTAAGGATGAAGACCACCTTCACGTTATCCACGGATTATTCTGTTTTGCCTCGTAATGACCTAGACACTCTTTGGCCGAAAGCTCACATCGTCTCCCTAGAACTTTCCAAAACGCTACTGGGTCCCGACTAACATCCGAGTTTTCCAACGCTGCAAATATGTCTAAATCTCTCTGATCTGATACTGTTACTTAACTTCCGCACCGTGAGATAAAATCTCCACAAATCACACTTGTGTTACTCCATCGCCCCTCCCAGAACTCGGGGCCCATTTTCATTTCTGATTTCACGTAAAATCTTTCATGGCGATTACAATGAAATGAAAATAATTCTGTCCAAAAAGTTTAAAAATTGTCAGGAAATTCGACGACCTTGAAGACACCACATATCCGACGTACTGCAGTTTTCATGCGTTTCTTAAACAGACGTCGCTGAGACTTACCGCCGACTGCTGCTGGGACGGACTGACATCGCCGTTTGCCTGCTGCGGCACGGGGACACCGCTCCCTTGCTGCTGGTCGAACTGCCTCTGGCGATGGGCTAATCTGTCGAGACTCGCCAGTCTGAAGGACGACGAGGCACCGGAGTACTTTGGCAGTGTGGGCGGAGGCACGGCTCTGGCCAGCGCCTTGTCGGTCATGGACGAGCGCAGCAGACCGGAGCTGCTGGTGTACATGTAGGATCCTGGAGTCGCAGCGGCCGAAATTGCGGTGCCAACGCAGGTCCCGTTACTCGACGCCACGGACGGCGTACTACTTGAGTTCTGCATGTCACTTGATCGGCGTTCAGCTGTACATGACGGTCGGACAGCGTAGTGCACACCCGGGCGCGGTCAATATGCTCTTGCAATCACATCCCTAGCGATCCTAACTGAGTGTAGGCCCCTGTAAAAAGGGGGGGAAACCGTAATACAAAAGCAGCCGGGGGGGGGGGGGGCC